ATCTTTTTCATTTGACTTCATAATTCTGTGCTACTTAAACTTAACATCCACATAAAATACAATGAAGTTTGTAGTTAAAATATTAGAAATTTAAGACGGAGGGATAGTTTCACGAAGGGCCATTTACACATTACCAGACACATTTATTGCTGCAAAGCATTAAACATCTATCTTTAACTGCAGCAGTGTGACACTAAAATCATAACAATAATAACAAAAATCAATGTTCCGTTGGATTCAAATGAAAGAAAACAATCCAGTTGGGGACAAAACGTTTTTACACAAAAACACCTGCTATTAACAATCCTTTAAAATAAATCTAACTGAAGCGGGGACTTTTGTTTAATTCACTTTTTAAAGCTGATCAATGTTTTTTTTTAAGTTCTTATTGGTAATCCAAGGCTTTCAGGTTATCTTGAGTATAAATATGATAGATGTGATGCAAAAAAAATGAAATCTCCACGGCCACTAAAATCTCACTTCGCTTCATTTTTGTTTAGATTTCTTGAAGAAGGAAGTTCTTTTTCTTCTTCAGAGATTTTTGTGTTGTTTCCTTTAGTTGTTCTTGTTGCAGCGCCACCAGAGGTGAGGAGGGTGAACAGGCTTTTCAATTAGTTTGGATCGTTTGACATAGTGCAGTGTGAAAGTGAACTGCACTGGACATGTAACAAATGTTGAAACCTTGGTCCCCAAGCAAACCAAGTCTACCAGAACAATGAGTGGAAAAACACCCTGCTGCTCAATGTATATAAAATAAAATAAAATAAAATAAAATCTCAAAAGCAAAGAAACAAAGAAACAGAACAGGGAGAAGTCTGATGTGTGAGGATTAGATTTGTGACACCACTGAGCAGCCACTGTGGTTTCCCCCTTTCAGCTGTTATCCTGTCTTTCACTCCGCTCCCTCAGCTGATTTGCCAATGCTCCCTCCTCCTCTGTTTGCTCCGAAATCCCCACGATGAGCGTGAAAAAAAAAAGAAATCCCTCTGAAAATCCACCACTGTGTCACTTTACCACTGAGCACTGAACAAGTGGATATGAGTCCAGTATTAACAGAGAGGGAGTGTCCTGCTCTTCTTTTACCCTTTCTTTTTCACAGCTGGAGCACTTCTTGTTTCTTGTTTCTCCTTGCCAGAGTTGAACATGTCGACGTGGGACGGTAGTTATTAGCTGTCAGAGCTTGACGTTCATTTGGTCTTATCAGCACTTGTTTAATGGCTACTTAATGGGATTAATGGACATAAGGTAATGAGTGTGGGATGGGGGACTGGCTGCAGGGGGGAAATGAATGGTTGAGGGAGCAAGGAAAGAGGAGGAAAGGCAACAATGCTAATGGCTTACAGACTTGGATGGAGTTGCTTTGGAAAGCAGTTTGGTAAATATGGCAGATGGCAACTGTGCAGCTCTGGGCTTCAAATGCAAACACAGAATTTATTGCCCTTACATTTATACCAGTGGATATTGCATTACTCGGTTCCATTCTTCAGCAGCTTTGAAATGGACACAGGAATTTCCACACGTTTCTCCTTCTTTTATGTTGTGAATCACTACAAGGATACAAGCTGAAAGCCACAGGAGAAAGCAGACATCCATGCCCAGGGGAAAGCTTTCAATATTCCACAAATCAGACCTCTCTTCTCTGAGCCACTAAATTCAATCTGGGAAAACACTGAACCAAACAGGGAATGTTAATGTCGTCAGAGCTGTGACACTCCCCGGAGTTATCACAAAGATATTGATCATGCTTCATCATCCAGCAGGAGGAGACAGACTGGCAGAGGAAGTGAGGTGAAGAATATAAAATAGGTTAATGGTAAAAGGAAGCCAAGAGTCTGGTGCCTCTCAAAACTTACTTAAATATAAGAGGAAAGGACAACAATCAGAAAGGGAATTTCCACAGATACAATTAAAGTAGCAGCTTCAAATTTTTTCAGTTCCATGTTTGGTATCAAGACTTGCTACAAATACCGCCTATCATTATTGTATTTTTGTGATCTAAAGATAGTTGAAACATGGGGCCACTTTAGCTTGAGGCGGTGCAAAGCTAAACTGGGTGTGTAAGAGGACTTGACAGCTACATTACCCTGCCTTCCTCCCTCAACAGTCCACCCATCCACAGCTAATAAGTTTAAGAGAAGGGGAATACAGCTTTATTAAAGGCCATTCAGTCCTCCGGTGAATCTGATCAAGTCCTTAATTACCAGCTTGACGGAGAAAGTGGCCGCAAGCTCCATGCATTGTTTTAGAAAGACTCGCAAAGAGATTCTTATTGTTTACTGTGATGACACAAACAAAAAGCTGTTTCCATGTTGTTTAGGTGATAGGAGACAGTAGAAATAATAATAATAATAATAATAATAATAATAATAATAATAATAATAATAATAATAATATAGAAACGCACCAATAACAACAACAACAACAAACCCGGGTAAATTAAAATATTTCCTTTTGAGGTCAGTCTCTTCCTCAAGCTGAGGGGTTCAAGGAGTTTTGTGTTTTGTTTACAAATAATCACATGGTGGAGCAGGAGTCGGATTGATGGACTTAGGCATCGCCTACTGCAACGTGCAGCACTTCAACTGCTTGTTGTGTCGAAAAACAACAAAAGAGTTTAGATATAAAGATCAGATCTGCGCTTACCGGTTTGGCTATGCTCCACTCCTCACCTGTGGTCATGAGATTTGAACCCTGAGAACGAAGCAAGCGTCCTCCGTAGGATGACTGGGCATCTAACCAGGATGTCCTCCGGATGCCTCCTTTCCTGATTTACCCCTTTGTGGGACAATAATGGCTGTTTCTATTCAACTCTATTTTATAAAAGTATCAGGCCAATGTCGTGACCATCTATTTTAATCATTTGATGTCTGCTAAGGTCCAGGAAGCAGTAAAAGAATGTTTTTTGTGTCTCGTGGTGCAGAAACACAGTTTAAAATGGACAGTTTTCTGCAGGGCTTGGTGTGTGACATAAACATCTTATTTGTTGTCAGATTCCAAGTCATTTTTACATGGACTTTTTAGTAAAACATTCTGAAAGTGGTCAACTTCCTGTAGGATTTGAATCATGACTAACAGAGATTTTTATGTAGGTGTTTATACTGCAAGTATCTATGCTGAATTTTATTAAAAGCAGTAAAAGAATAAGCAGGGGATAATGTCTTCTTAGGAGGAAGCATTCATGGCCTGTGGCTGTCAAACAACTATGTTTAGCAGCTCTTTAAGGTCTGGAAGCACTACCTATAATGAAAACTCATCTAAGAAATGCAATCTACCAAGTGCAGCTCCTTTGTTACCTTGCACAGAGTCAATGTTTTTAGTTACATCTACATCATCTCTGTACAGCCAGCAGTTAGATTGTTGTCATCACTGTAAATTGCCTCAAGTAATGAGAATTATACAGCATGAAAAAGACCAAAAGACAAAGTAGCTTTGATTTTTAACCCTCAGGAAACCAAGGCTTGGGATGTTCGACAGGCTGCCTGACCACAAGGTTAAGCCTGGGTTTAGAGACAGAGAGATTTAGGAATGGTTTCGATTAGATTTCGGTAGAGTTTAAGTCACCTGCCTACAGACAGTTTATGTTGGCAGTGAATGCTTTTAACATATCCTAAAACCCATTTCCTATTTTAGGGTTTGACAGTGACTGATTGCAGTATTACTCCCAGACTTCTGCTCGGTGCTGTTGCCATCATTCACTACAGCAGTTGTCAAGTAGAGTGAGCCAGATTTGGTCTGGTTCAGTCACTTCAGCTTGGAGGTAAAATAGGATATCAATCAACAAATCTAAGCTCCAAGAGTTAAAATACCTTTGAATGTTTGCTAAGTACATCTTATGACAACATCCAAATGTTGAGAGATTTGTTCTGCTTGACAAACCTTTGGTAGATGAGTATTCACTATATCTTACTCCAAGTTTATAGACGACAAGCAGGTTTGATTGTGTTGTGGGTTTGATAGAACAAGTGCTGATCAAAGCAGCAACACAACTTTTTGTCTTTGCGCCTTACACTTTCTGGAACTTTACAGACAAATCCAATAAATCCAATAAGCCACCAATCTTCCATGACACATCAGGCAGAGTCCGCATTCGAGCACTAACTTTCCCGGAGTGAGCAGGGGGAAAATGCCTGGTCGCTGCACAGCAATGAATCGTTCGGCCTCTACTTCCAGTTACTTGACATTAGCAGGCTGGCATTTCTCCATTATAAATCAGCCTCGCTGCAGCCCGAAAGTTCTGAAACTGAGATGATGTGGCCCATTTGTGAAAGGTTACAGATTTACATCATGGGCTCCATTTCAGCCAAATGACTTCAATTTAATGATGCCCATTAAGAGCAAAAATAGGGTTTTACTCCACATTTGGAGATCATTTATGAATTCTGTGCTTTTACTTTATCTGGATTGAAAGTATTGGAAAGGACGAAGAATTGATTTGAGAATTTTAGTTAAAGTTGTGGTTGAAAATGTAACTTACCATTACAATGTTGCTGTAAAGAATACAGAAATAAAAGTTTTCTTCAAGGCAATAAAAAGCCAAAAATGAAGCCAGTTTGACATGTAGTCTTTGCATCCCTACCCTTCCTCCTCGCCCTCCTTTCTCTCTCTGGCCTCCTGCATCTCCTTTAGTGCATTTTGCTAGTCTTATTTAAGCTCCTCTTGACAGAGCCGCATTGCAACCCTCCTCCTCCTCATCTCAGTGCATTGCCTCTCCTCTCCTGCCCGCTGCAGTATGGCAGTAGACTGTTTCCTTACAGACTCGTTGCATCCCTCCTCCCTGCTATTGCCTTCCCTACTGTCCCTCTCAAGTCTCCCCCTCTGCCACACACTCACCTTCGCTGAGTGTTGGCAGCAGAGCGACACCTTAGATAGTCGAGCCTTGCTGTCTTGTTCGCTCCGTGATAGAAGAAGCTGTTGTTTTCCTTAATGAGGACAAACAACGTATAGTTGGTAAAGTGGTGTTAGTATTTGCTGTGTTTAATTCTGATCTGTTTTTTTATTAGACCCCAAAGGCTCGAAAAATGAAGCTACTCACAAGAAAGGTACTTTCCTTTTCTTTTTCAGTTTTTCTTTGTTTTATTGTTTATTGTTTTGTTTTTGCTCTTCTTTTCTTCCCTGGCCATCGTTTTTATGTTTAACAGTCACTCACGCATTACTGGGGCAGTTTCCAGATGTTGAGAAGAACAACGAACATTGGGAAACGCCTTCCTGATGTAGATGTAGAGATTGCCTTGTGTGGTTGCACTTTGTATGAATTAAAGTGGTTAAGAATCTTTGTGACTGGAAATGTCAGCGGTTTTTAAAGCTTCTGTCTACTTAATTCGTTGTGCTGATGCATACACTTTTCTCCACAAATGCCTGACATCATTTTTCCTGTGGTTTGAGTCAGTTATTTCCTAAAAAGAAAACCTGACTATTCCTGGACATTTAATTATTATTATTTTTTTATCTCAGTTAATACAGACCACTTTTTGCGACTGTTTTAGCTGCAATGGAAAAAATGTGAAGTTGTTATGACAATATTGTTTTTTCTGATTATAAATGTTGGACATATTTTTTTTTTGGCTTTGAAAGTAAAGCATTCCCTTAATGTCTCTGTCCATCTTCCCATCTCAGACAGTCTTATTTTGATGGGAACTTCAAGATACCAGTCATTGTTAGTTTTTAAAGATGCTGAGTCAATAAAGTGAAATGAAGATTGTCTGCTCTTTTCCAGATTCTACAGTAAATTAGTTTGAACTACCAAGTATACAAAATAAAATGATTCCACACTTATTGTCTAAAAACAAAAACAAAGTCCAAATGGAGAAGCTGTGTGTAAAAAACAAGTTCACCATATGAAGAATTTACATGGAAAAAGAAACAGTTGCTACATAAGAATCTTAGAAGGTTAATGAGGCCATTTCCAAACTTACAAACAAATCATTATTGATAATGGAAAGCAGTTTAAGACATTGATCCATCCTCCCAGATCTAAGAATACAATGCCAAAAAAAGTGACTACATAGTAAGAGCTGAATCTCACACAGCAGTCAAAAGCAACCCAAATCCAATTATTTGCCCATTTGTAACCCATATCCAACTTTTCACAGCAGTCTGAACAGCCCAATTATGATCTTTTCACCCTCCAGAAAATCAAATTTGTGCCACTTTCAAATATGGGACTGAATCTGTTACATATCCTACAGTTTCCCCAGCGTCTGCAGTCTGAACAGTCATGATACATTTATTCCGACTTTTACATCACTGGCATAATTCTGCACTAGAAGCCAGACGTGGTAAATCCGGACATATAGTGGTGACAAAAAGGGTTTTTCCTCATTCTGATTCTCTATTTTATTGCATCTTTGTCACATTTCAGTGTGTCAGAGGATCAAATCAACTTAAATAGGGGTCAAAGACAATACAAGTAAATACAAAATGCAGTTGTTAAACAAAAGTTTGATTATAAAGGGAGAAAAAAATCCAAACCTACATGAGCCAGTGTGAAAAGGTATTTCCCCCATCCTGATAAAATAGAACTATGGTTTTTCATGCCTGAATTATCTGTTTTTATCCACACACAGGCCCCTGCTTTCAATCAAGGCATACATTTATTAGGACCTGCCTGACAAAGTAAAATTCACTGAAAGATCTTCAAAGCTAGACATCGTGCTGATATCCTAAGAAATACAGGGATAAATGGGAAAGAAAGTATTTGAGGTATATCAGTCTGGAAATCGTTAGAAAGCCATTTCTAAACTCAAGTAAACCACAGTGAGAGCCATTATCCATCCATGGTGAAAACGTGAAACGGTGGCAAAAACAACATCCAATCATCACTTACCTCAGATGAGGTCAGAGGTTATGTTTTCTTCCACCATAAGAAAGAGGCAAAAATGGCCACCATGGCAGAAAACCCCTATTGAACAAAAAGAACATTAAGGCTCTCCATTTTTCTGTAACTCATCTTGATGATCTCCAAGACTTTTGGGAAAGAAATTCTGTAGACTGAAGAGACAAAAGTTGAAGGAAAGTGTGTGTCCTGTTACATTAGGCATAAAACTAATGTCACATTTCAGCAATAGAACAGTGTACCAACAATAAAACATGGTGGTAGTGTGATGGTCTGGAGCTTTTCTGCTGCTTCAGGACCTGGAAGATTTGCTGTGATAAATGAAACCATGAATTCTGCTGTGAATAAAAAACACCAAGAGCCATCTAGTCATGACCTAAAGCTGAAACAAAGTTGGGTTCTTCAGCAGGAAACACACTAACAAGTCCACCACTGAACAGATGAAGAAAAACAAAAAGTCATTTTTTGTGGCCTAGTCAAAATCTTGTCCTCAATCCTATTGAGAAGCTGTGACTTGATCTGCAAAGGCTGTTCAAGCTGGAAACCATCTATGTTGACTGAATTACAACAATTCTACAAAAATGAGTCAGTCTGTTAGGTTTAGTAATCACCTTTTCACACAGAGCCATATAGGTTTGGATTTTTTTCTCCTTTAAAAACAAAATCCTTCATTGAAAACTGCATTTTGTGTTTACTTTTATTGTCTGACTAACACTGAAGTTGGTTTGATGTTTTGGAAAACTGAAGAGTTACAAACATGCAAAAAATAAGGACTTAAAAATTACGACACTGTAAACAATGCAGCAAGCAGCGCTGAAACATAACTTTTTTTTTTTGCTTTGTGGTTGCATTTAATTAGTAGCAAAAAAACAAACCTGATTTCAGAAAACAATTGTAAATTGAGCCTGCTGTGTGCACTGCACCCTTACATGCTGGAATCCTATCACACCATGTTAAATGTGGATGACGGGGCAAATAAGGGTTGACTGGAAAGATATCCGCTCTAAAAAGATAGAATTTAAACAATTAAATCCAAAGTGCAGATATTTGGCCATAATGCATAATACCATGTTTAGAGGAAGCATATAACCACAAATACCTCAGTTCAAATGTAGACCACAGTAGTGGAAGGCTGATGATTTGGGTCTATTTTGCAGTCAATAGGATTTGTGCATCTTGGAGTCAGTGTGTGGGAGAATAATTTTGCTGCCACCCCTCTTTTTTCTGTGCAGAAAAGTAAAGAAAAGAAAACATTGTATATAAGAATGTTAAGGAAATCCACCTTTATGATATAAAAGAGTTAAATAAAGACAAATTAGGGGCTGCATTAATGTGGTTTACATTTAAATTCCAAACTCTGCAGGTCTAATATGTTTTTCAAAGCTGCGACATCCTGTGACACCAATCTGGACCCTGGTCATTGATCCTGACTCAGCACAACCTCTGTTAAGCTAAAATGCTTTATCCAAAGCAGCATTTGGATCAATGTGGCCTTCTGCAGGGAGAAACAAAACAAGCCAAAGAAAAAGAGAAAGTTTCAGAGAGAACATCTTCTGGCGACCTTCCAAACTCTGTAAGCATCTTCAGGACTGATCAAACATAATGACTTTGGTTTCCATTTTCAGAAACTGTGACTCATTTTATGTTAAAACATGGCACATAAAAGGATAATACTCTAAAGGGTAATAAATTAGAGGTTGTAAAATAATTCACTCTCAGTGAAAAGGAAACGTGATCACATCGTTGTGTCGTCATTGGACCTCATTCAGTCCTGAATGTCTTAGGCTAAATTTAGACCACTTTAAGCCATTAGTTTGATTTTTGTTACTTTGCTAATTTGCTGCAAGGATTTGATACATTCAATCACATTTCAGATGGACAGTTCAGTAGGTCACTGTAAATCACTGGCAGTATCATCTGATCCAGTTTGTCTCATTGCTCAGACGATTCAAAGAAAGGAATCAATCATGCTCAGTTTGATGAACAGAGACAAGGTCATAACAATATAAAGGGCATAATAAAATCCTGAACCACTGAACTATCAAAACTATTTTTGACCTTTATGTAAGTGCAATTAAAGCCAAATATGGAGCAAATTGCAAAGGTGACACATTGCGATGCCTGTTTTATTGCAATGCTCTATAAAAGACCTTCTGCACCGTCTGACACACTAAGGGTGGAAACCAAACACACCTGGTACACTTGAATGGACCAGAGTTTGTTTCCTCCATTGGTCCGGACTTTTTGTACAGGTTTGAATACACTCAAGATATTCTTGAGTATTGCAGTTACAACAGTGGACCAAACAAACGCATCCAAGGATTTCCTTTTGTGAATGTACCCTAAAAAATGTCTAAAAAAACATGCACAAGAACAGGCAGTGTGAAGGAAAATATCATTTGGGCCATGGGATTAAATCAAAGATCAACTTTATCATGATCTGCTGCAGATATTATCCTTTTGTGTCTAATTACCCTGAATGAATAATGTCTTCCAGGGAGAGTATTGGTTTGCAGACTAAAGACCCCAATTACCTCCTGAGCTTATTCTGTCGGCCACTGCTGTCAGCTTCACAGGAGTACACGCTTTATATTAGCAGGCAGCAGCCTGTCTGCCTCCAGGCAGTCGATATGCATAACTTACCCACTGGCCTGGCAAAGGAAGAAAAAATAACGGAAGCTCCAGAACTAATAAGTTAATTTCTCATTTTAATGTTCAAGCAGCAGAAGCACAATTATATCTTAAGAAGTCTGGAGATGTGAGAGGATGGGTGTGGATATCAGTCACAGAATAAAGGCTGATGAAGGCGGTTCACAGAGCTGCAACGGGTAACATTGTTTCACCGGGTTAAGGAAGAATGTTTCTGGGTTTCTATTTTATCTTAAAAGGGCAGCATTATGTGTTCTTCAGGCTAAAATGGTTATTTTATAGAATAATTAAGTAACTATGCTTTATAACCAGTTATAAAAATACTATGTATGTTAAATATGACTTAAAAGAAATGTTACTGCCTAATTTAACAACTTAAAATTGAGGCTGTGTCATTTTAAAAACTCCTGCTCTGTCTGAAACTTTCAGGAAGTCATCATAACATCGTTCCTCTGTTAATCCTTTAGCAATGCTTTTACCAGCTTTGCACTGAGAAGGAGCCTGTATAATTAGCTTAGCAGATGTTCAGTTCCACCAGGTGTTTGCTAAATCCTGCTG